TAAACTATCAGCTTATATATAACCTCCGCTTTCTAAGGTGGATGCTTATAAAAGCGAGTAAACTCTTGGCAAAAGACTTTCTTCTTTGAGCATTATGGGCGGGCGCTACAGATTCGCAAACCAAATAACAGAAACCCCATCACTTGAGGACTGCCAACAGCAGTAATAATTAAAATGGATAGCACATAAAACTGAAAGAAAAATTAATGATATAATCAAGATGTTGACATTCCACATTACTTCAAATAAAAGGTTAGGAAGGAAACAGCCATCAATATTGCAAAGAGGTACTGAACATATTTTTTCTGAAAAATTGTTTTAAGGGAAAGATTTTATAAATTTAAACCAAAAGCAATACTGACTGCTCAGTCAATGAAAGCCGAATGTTTCCTTGTAGGGAAACGGCTAATGTAACTATTAGCATTATATGCCGGGATAGAAAGATCAATAGATAAACGTGACCAATTAATTTCATTTCTGATATTCAAATCCATCGCAATACCGAAAGAATATAAGAATTGGTGCTTGAGTCTAGATAAAATCGAGATTTCAACTGGTGAATCTCAAGGTAAGCAGTCTCTCATTAATAGGAAGAATGGCGCAACGCTTTCTATGATTTTTTTTCTGGTCTATTTATTTTTTTTTTTAATTTTATTAATGCTATGTTTCTTCAATTCGTAAGAAATCATGTCTCTTCACACATTTTTTTACTTCATTATCTGTGAGTTGCTATGACTTCTTCCAATGCATAATAAAACAGTTTCTCATTGCCTTCTCCAGAGTTTTAAATACAGTGGAGTATTTCTTGTAGACTGGTTACCACCTACTTCTAAATGGGCCTGTCTACGCAACTTTTTAACGCATAGCCCGAGGAAAAAGAGATTGAATGATAACTTTCCCAAGGCTATATGGCCGAAAATGAATACAGCAGAAGTGCGGATAATACAACGGGTATAGGTGTGGAAAGTAGAATTAGCGAGCCGAGATCAAATTCTAGGCTTTTATGCGTTGCATTCACTTTCGCGCTAATATCCTTGAGAAAGGTATAAATCTGTTTCTCCCTACCCCACCTCGGCTATTGATTAAATCGGTGGCTAGGCTGGACTCTCTGGCTAATCCAAGAAAAGGAAAACTCCGAAGCGCGATAAAGCAACAGGAAACTACTCCGCTATTTTTCCAAAGTAAAGTATATGAATCTGTGGAGAGCCATGATCGCTTGCATCCTGAAGGAACAGAGCATTTTGAGTGCAATAGACTAAGCGGAAATTTGAATTCTGTTCGTCGACTCTACACGCCGATAACTGATTTATGCCGAATCCAGAGACTGATCGAAAAATGTTTCTTACGTTTTTCTAGCTAATTTCTTTCTTTTTTTTTTTTAATCATTTCACCCCAGGCAAGGTAATAAAGCCGCTAAGACGCAATTCATTTACGGAGTTTTAGAGAATATAAGAAAAAAATAAACACTATTAAAGAGAGAGAGAGAAAAAAAGAGGAATCAAGAAGTCGGACAATGATGACATTAAATTTAAATTTTTGAAGATCAAAGTTGACTAGGAAGCAAGAGTTCCACAAGCGAGAAGTGCCAGAAAAGAAGCTGTTAGCATAGAACTAAGGGTTACACCGAGCCATTTCAAGTGTAAAATGATGAGAACTTGTTGCCAATCTAGTGCCGATCAAGACCACGAGTTCTGTAAATCATTCGGGTCGTAAGGACACCACATATACTGCAGTCGGGGTGGGGTGTGCCTTAGGCAACATAGCCTGACGATGTACAACCCTTTCCAGGCTAGCTTGAATTCAGAGTTTTCCTTCTCCTGGACTAGCCGCCAACAAAGGCTATAGAACCCATTTTGTCCTGCTATTTACTCACAGATGGGGGGGGGGAGAAGAGATGGAATTTCTCAAGGGTAAGTGAATATAATGAACTCGACTGGAATTCAAACACGACTGGAATTCGAACTCGACTCCCAAATTCCTCAATCTGAGCCGCGATCCATTAATCCACGGTGCCTCCACACTGCGCTTAAATTGATAAAGTCTGGCTACCAAAAAGCAAGGTAATATTTATTTTGAAAATACAAAAGTGTGGCATAAGGCCAAAAATCAGAGACAGGGGAAGGCTGGTCTTCAGTCTGTCTTATCTTAAACTTAGCTAGTCACAATTACTGACTCAAGCATTACACAGCATTCCTTACATTGCCATTCTTACTACAGTCACCATAATACCACAAAGTTTCTATGTAGTCCTAACTAGTTCCCATATGCACAATTTGGCTGGTGGTGGGGGGGATAAAAATAGAATGTAAAAATATTTAAAAATGAGATCTTAAGGAACATTTACAAAATAGTCTTAGTGATAACCCCGACCAAACAATCCTTAATTATGACAGAAATATCAGTTAACTTGTCGAAATCAATGCGGGACTAGGTAATTAACAAACATCATTCGATCAACCACTCACTCAAACACACACTCATTCAGACATAAAAACAAATA